TGTGTGTGTGTGTGTGCTGTACCTGTAAACTCACACCTGTCTTCCTGTTGTCATATGATGAACTCTGGTTTGTTCCTGAGTTTCAGTCCAAACTCATCGATACCTCGTTACTCTCTACCAGAACCCCCCCCCTCCCCCCTCCCCCCAGTGAAACTGTCAAACTAAGACAGTGAAAGACTGTAAATAGTTTCTATAACAGTAAAACACCGATATCTCTCGGCAAAACCGGCATTTATACGCCATTTATAAGGAATTTATACTGAATAAAGATCAGAGTGTTTAGTGCACCGCCCTCCGGAGACTGAGCGCAGTCACTGCAGCTCTGACTCACTGTGGCGTCTTTAAGTTACAGCAAAGACAGTTTCTCTTCTAAGTCTTCTCACTTCTATTTTCAGAGGCTCGTTTCTTTTCTCAGTGTGAGATTTCACAGAAATCATCTGCTGTAACACACACACACACACACACCCACATACACACACACACCAACAACAACACACCCACACACACACACACACCCACACACACACACACACACACACACACTCTCTCACACACACACACACACACAGTAGCAGCTAGCTCATCTTTATCTTCTTATCGTTCCTCTCTGGTAAAGCTGGTGAATAAATCAAATGCAGGAAAACCAAAGATGGAGACGGGGAGATAGAGGGATGGAGGAGGCAGAGAGGGGCATGATGGGATATGATATGACAAATATATACAGCGCATATTCCTATTCTCACTGGTAGAGAGATGAAGACAATGAAGGAAGAAAGGCGGAAGCAAAGAAAGACAGAAAGAAATCTGAATGCAAAGTGACAGTGTCTGCTTTCAGCCTGTTCTTTAAACATATATGTGTGTTTACAACTCTATGACTCTATATGAGCTAGTATGCATAACTATTTTATATTATTTTCTGTCTATTTCTGTCTTCTTTATATCATCATTAAATCGTATTCTTTATAACAGCATAAGATTTGATGATGGTAAAGGCAGCGGATAATGCAGTTAAAAAAGCTAAAAACAGGGATAGAAAGAGAGGAATAATGAAAAAAGATGGTAGGAACTGTAAAAGGTAGACTGAACTGACTCAGGAAACTTCCCACCACAGGCCAATGTGCCCTTGAGCAAGACACTGAACCCTCCCCATCCCATCTACTTTAGATGCACACATTACAACAATAAAAGCATGAATCATACGCTTGTTTCTCAACTTTTACGTTCTGTAATCTGCTTTGGTGATATTGTTTCCCCACTTAATCATCGTGCCTCTAAACTAAAAAAAAAAATCAAATTGCAAGTTAATGAGGTGCCGATAGTATTATTTCACAGCCGGGTGCTCGTGTGCACAGACTGATGCTGTGCCGACCTGTTAATACAACAAATTAGGAGTTGAGCATATGTTGTAACCCCACTGCAAATCACAGGAGGTGGTTCAATGTTTCTCTCAAGGACACTCTGATGGGACACACTGGGTTTTTGTAGGAGCTAGGTTGGAAAGTTTATATTCAGCTCTTTTCATACAGTTGGGGAGAATGACGCAGAATTATTAGACAACCCTATATGAAAAGGTGAAGGAAGCGATGTTCATGAGATCCATAAAAATCTGGTCTAAACTAATGTTGTGTGAGTTTTGGTTGTACAGATTGACTGAAGTGACCAGACTTCATAGAGATTACGACTTTTTCTTAAACATTTTGTTGATGTCCTCTGATATGGAATTTCCTCCCAGATCACATTGAGTCAACATGTTTTTCATGAGGTTTTATTTCAAAAGTAGACAGATTTTCTTGCCTCTAAGCTACACAAGCTAAATTTTTTCTGTGAAAAATGTGTATCTTATCTTTTTGAACTACAAAGTGGGGCAGCAGCAGAGAACCCAATCTTTCTCGGTGGCAAGCTGAGAAACATGTTGGGGTTATTATAAATAAGAGTTTGTATGTTACAAAAAGTAGTGATGTCAGTCTTTGTGTTGTAGGATATGAAAAGGTTTGTAGAAAATTCCAGAAGACATCTTTGCTTTTCTTTGAAATAAAATAACTAAACATTCCCACATTTTCTGCAAGTAAACAAGTCTTTCTTTTGCTTCTGTGTCTACAAACAGCAAATTGAGCTTATTTAGTTTCAGATTTTAATCAGTTACATTGCAATTACGTCTTTAAGTCTGTATGTCACAAGAGCACAGATGTTAGGTAGTGCATGACTCCATTGAACTTCAAGGCAGACGGAGTAAGATTTGGACAAAACACACAGACTCATACAAACAGAGACCCTGCACTCTGCCTGTATTTTCTTTTTTTGTTGTGTTTGGTACGTTTCTTTGCGTCAACCTTTGGGCAGTGGGTGTGTAGCCCCCAGCCAATAACAACGCTCAGGGTGTCAGGGCAGGAATCTTTAAAAACTTAACAACCAGGTGCCAGATTGTGCATCCATGGTAAACATCCAAGAGGAGTTGTTGTGCTGTGCTGGGGGTGATGTGAGATATATGTGGGGTCTTATTCAAAGTTGATGAATCAATTAAGTGGAAATAAACGCCCTTTAGTATTAAAAAGTCTTATACACTAATTTCTGAAGTATTACATTTTGTAGCTTGTTTTCAAAAATTGTCCAAAGTTTGTGTTAATTTAATCATTGCGTAGGTGCGTTGTGGAATTCTGTGTAGTTTATTTATGGAAATCTTGCTAGACTGGAAATCATCTGAAAAAGAAAAGCACGCTCACTGACTCACTAATTGACCACTGCTTGATAAGGTTACGCATAAAGGTCCCTTTATGCGCTACTGTGGCTATTTATAGCGCCTGTACCACTAATATACTTATCACATGTAGGCCTACCTGTAAACCATCTTAGCAGTAAACAGACTTTACCGACTGCTTTGCAATATATATATACACACACACACACACACACACACACTGTGTAGACTGTAAAATAATAACCTAAACAATGTTTTACTATCAATTTTCACATCCACCTCATCATTTCAACTGCAATTACCTCTTATTGGAAGTCTCCATGAGGTGACACACACATTTTTCCATCACCGCTGAAGCTACTACAATGGCTGTCACTTCATACTGCTGACCTCTGACCTCTGAGTGACCGTTCCCTCCCAGCTAATCTGAATTAAGTTGCATCGATACAGTGGTCCGAGTAGTTATTATAAACTAAGACTGCTTAATGGTGCTAACTTACAATCAATTTATAGTAAATGTAAGTTTAAGTTTGTCACTAATGACACTAGTTTGAACTCAAAGTGGCAATGAGATCTTAAAATGCATTGAAAGAGTATTTAAAAGGTCTTAAAATGTAATAAATTTAACTAAAGAATTCCTGCATATACCCTGGTTTACAAACCGAAACTGACAGATCCTACTCATTCTGCCTTTAAGTTGTAATTTATTGTATTAGTCATTAATGTTTTTGAATGAAGTGTCATATTTCACAAAATAGCGTCTACATTTGACATTTTGTTTTTTTTACTCCTTTTTACATGTAAAAAAAATCGGAAATTTTAGTCCAGCCTTTCAATGTTTTTAACCGAATATTCAGTCCGAGGCGCTTTCAGTAAACAGATGATGAAACACACATGATGGAAGCAGATTAGATAAACAGGAGGAAACAACATGTTAAGCTTGCTAATGGTGTAGTGTGGCGTGCAAGGTGGACGCACACACACACACACACACACAAGGAAGGTGAGGTTTTTAAAAATGAAGGCCAGAACAGAACTAGCAGACTGTTTCTGTTTGAAAATGTCACCAATCCATCAATCTGATAGGTAAAGGCCAGTCTTCTCATTATACTGTGTGTGTGTGTGTGTGTGTGTGTGTGCATGTGTGTCTGCCTCTGCTCTTTTAGAAGAAAAGGCTGCTGACCCAGCGAAGGCAGCACACACACACTCGCACTCACTGTTATGTGGTGTATTTTAATGAGCTTCTGGCTGGTTATCTATAATTCATCTTCAACAGGTCTGGAATGATCATTTGGTCACTGTGTGTGTGTGTGTATGTGCAAAGTGTTGATGATATTTTCACTTGTAATATCACTGTAACCAGCCAGCATTATTACAGAGCATTGTGGCTATTGTTGAGGCACTTTATTTTGAAACTATATTCAATGAGAAATTGCCCCATTTTCCATTTTTGTACATATTATCGTCTCAACTGTTGATAGAGGAACCGATTTTATTTGAATGACCGATCTTTTAGGAATGTAGGGCTGTGCGATATGACGATATATATCGTGTGACAATAGATAAACGTTTAGCATTTCGTATTATGCTCTATTGTTACTTCCATTACAAATGCTGTGCACTGTTACAGTTGTGACTAATAACCCTCTTTTACCCTCTCTACTGTTAATCAAATGTCTGAACTTTTAAAGCAATATTTTTTCATAATGTGGACGACGCAGGCAGTAAATCTGCATGTGTGCAACACAATATATATATTATATATATATATATATATTCCGACTCACTAATTGTGGTAAATGTACATTAACATGGGACATGCCTTCCAGTGGCTCAATGGGTCTGATGTCATGTTTTCTCTCTCTCTCTCTTTGCAGGTGCACCACTCTTCATTATGACTCTGATCTTCCTCCAACCTCCATCATCATCACCTTCCACAATGAGGCCAGATCCACCCTGCTGCGTACCATCAGGAGGTAACACATCACACACCTGAGACTTCTTAGATATTATGGTTCAGTGGTAAAACTGGTGTTACAAAAATAGTATAAAATACATCTAACTTTATTTTGTAACTGGGGTTTTTATTTTATTCAGGTTCTCACATCAAAGTTTGATCATATGCATATGTAAATCTGAAGATATGGGTTTGTGTTTTCATCATTACACTTGAAAAGGTGTAATTTTGTTTTAAATATAATTTATGCACATCTTATTTGTACAATATTTTCAAGGAAATGCAATTTAATGACACAGAATTCTGATACTTTTGAATTATCCCTCTAAGTGTCAGTCTTCAGAAACTCGTATCAGTTAAACTTTTGGCTGATGTTACAGAAGTTACACTAGAGATGCAGTGAAGGAACAACAACCTACACACACATATACACACACACACACACACACACACACATTTACTCCCCTGACCCTCAATCTCTGGACCATCGTTCTGTCTTTTAGTTTGATGAAATCAGCAGGTCAGCACACACACACACACACAACACAAACAGTTACACACACCCACACACACAGACACACACACCCATATACACGCACACACCTCCAGGTTTTGGCGTGGGTTCAGCTCATTATACCAGTCAGTCAGCAGGGACCGGCCACGTCTCCGTACTATCACAGAGGACATTGTGTATTTTATGTGAATGTGTGTGTGTGTGTGTGAGAGAGAGAGTCTGTGTGTGTGTGTGTGTGTGTGTGTCCTCCCCTTCAGCCCTTCTCAAAGCTCTGCAGTTTTCAACCAATTAAAAGACAATCTGTCTCCCTGAGCCCCTCTGCTCCCTTTGGCTCTGGCACTCAGTATGTAAGTGTTGCTGTGTGTGTGTGTGTGTGTGTGTGTGTGTGTGAGCTGGAAGTAGTTTAGCTTCCTTTTATTTTTAGTTTGTAAATTTGGAACATTTGCTCTCACCAGGATACACAGGATCCTCCGAAGCTTCTTTATTGCTGCAAACAGCTTTATTTGACACGGAAACATTTTAATGAACATATCTTCTATTTAAAAGATATTTAAGGCAGCAATAATCCAAAACATTTTTATTTAGATATTTTATATTTGCTTTTCAGTTTTTAAATGTTCAAAGCTGCACATGCAACTTTTTTGAGCTTGGTGTTTGGTTACAGATATTTCCAGTTGTTTCCAAAGTATCTGCACAATTTAGTATATGTTTTAATGTGTCTTCTTCTTTAGTGGGAGAGACTCACTAGCTCCAAGGTAGTTAAGTGTCTTTTTACTTGATGATTCCAGAGAGAGGTCAGAGGTCAGAGTTACAGTTGACTGGATCTGGTGTTAGTGCCTTGCTTAATTGGACATTTAATGGACCATCATGTGGTTTTGCACGTTTTGGCCCATTAACTTTACATTGTGTGTTATTTACATTACTGCTGACCCAAAGCAAATCATTAGTTTTTAGACAGATTTTTCCACCTTACAGCCACTGATTTTTACTTCATTTCAGGACCATATAAAGTAAAACTTATTTAAATGATCTGAGATGGGCAGTGCATTACACTGAACGATTTTCACCATTATTTTTTGTCGAAGTTAAGTTATTGTCCTATGGTGCTGCAGTTTTGAGGCAGGATCATTTAAAAAAAAAATAAAACATTTACCAGCAGGAATACAGAATGTTGTTACAGGCAATAAGCAAGCATAGATGATGTGGAAGGAAAACATACACTTGGCTGACTTTAAAATTAAAAAAGTTGCTCTGGAGAGTTTTTTTTTTTTGCTTTAAACGGTGTAGTGTTATATGTGTAGTGAGATTTGAAATAGTAATATTTATATTTATTGGGGTAAACCTGCAGCAAACCATTTTAAATGTGTCAATACCTTCTGGTCCCATTAGACATAGTCGTAAACCTCCATGTCCCATGCCCTTCAGCATTTAACCTGCACAAAAACTAATAGCAAAGGATGTTAGTGGCTTCTAAATCTGAATGTGTGCAGCTATTATGATGTGAAGTCAAGTACTTTAGTACTACGTCATCGCTCTTTATGGGTCAATACTTTTGAAAAATGTTTACCTGCTTGTTCTCCAAACTTCACTGGATCATATCCAAAAACTTTGCAAAAGATATTCACTGTAATAAAAACTTTTTCTAAGAGACTTTGAAAGATATTTAGTCGAAGACAGCAAAAAATTGCAATCTAGTTCAGGCGTCAGTTTTCAAGCATAAAAAAAACCTTGAATAGCCAGATAATAGCTAGATAAGTTTTCTTTTTACTATCTGCAATCATGCTTTGCTCCGGGGACTCAGAAAACACTGAAAGCGTATTGAATGGCCACAATTATACTATAAAAGGGTATAATTTGGGAGTTTTGTGAGCTTCGGGGCTCGACGATATGCAGGCCAAACTTTAATAAGTTTGATTTCTGAGACAATGATGGGCACTTTGAAAGCTTTTCATCTCATGATCAAAGAGTTGCTTTCTGAGGGAGAGCTGGGCCTTGTCGATATTTAATCAAGCTCTGATCCGAAAATTGATCTCATCTTCTCTGTCTCCGCCAGGCGAGAGATAAGCAGGCGAGGAGGGAGAGAAAGAAAGAGAACGATAGAGAGAAGACGTGAAGCTTTTGAGGACATATTTGGTTTTAATGGGTTTAGTTTGTTTTGGCTCTGCGTGTGTGTGTGTCAGCTGCAAAGGTTCCATTATTATGGAGGAGCCACAGGAGCATCTTGGGAAAAAGGATGAGGGAGGGAGAGATCTCTCCCTCTAGATCAGCACCAGCTCAGCACTTTCTAAATCAGTGGACCTAAAAACGCACAGTACAGAGTCCGGATCACTTCCTCTACAACTGATCACTCAGGATTTATTAGGAAGAGGTCATTAGGCAGATTGATAGTCTTTGCTTTTACTGCAAGTTCACTGTTTTATATGAGATTAAGTGATACTCTATTGGACCCTGCTCTGCTTAATTTATATCTCGATCTTTATTCTTTTCTTGCACATCATCATAGAAAGTATTTTGGCCAATAGGCTCAAGTCCCAAAAAACATGTATAGTCCCACCAAAAACTCTTTTATCTATCAGATATAATTTAACATTCCTGATTAAAGAGCATCCATCAAATATATGCATTTGGCTCCCAACCTAAGCTGTGATAAGACAATATTTGTCAAAATTATACAGTGTTTATATGATGCTGATATGTAGCATCACAGATCATCAGTGATAAGACTTTGTATTCCCTAGATACCATTCAGTGCTTGTATGGGGCATTAGATTATCACTGATGAGCTTATACATACAGCATCCACTAAACAAACATCATCATACAGCAATGAGTGAATACAGATATAGATCATGGCACATTAGCAGTGACAAGACTGCATTTAATGTGGACAAACTAGCCTTTTGACCCCTGAATGAGACTGATAAATATAGATGTAGCTCTGTAGATCAGCAGTGATGAGACAGTATTTACTGGGTGCAGATATATAGCATAATGCATCACTGGTAGTTAGACAGAAGCGAACGTATTGAGTGGCTGAATCAGGATTTTTTTTTTTTTTTCAAGAACAGTTACTGTGGATCTGCTGGGAAAGGCTTTCTGTCAGAGCAAGGAAGATTTAACATGCAATGAAAACAGTGGAGTGTGTAACTTTAAAAAGCTAAAAGTTATTTTTAAGGAATAATGTTAATTGATACACATTTTTTAATAGTAATCTTATACAAGAAAAAATAATTTCCCCCCAAATAGTGGACATCTCATTTTTGCAGTGAAATTCTTCCATTGCTGTCAGAGGTCTTGATAGAGAAATTGGTGGGAGAAAGATGGCGGGATGCGGATGAATGGAAAGACTGGTGGATGCAGAGGTGGAAAGTAAGGAGTGATGAATTACTCCAGCAAGGTAGAGGATGGAAGAACTGGCTGTCAGCTACCCAATCGGGCAGAGAGAGAGAGAGGGGAAGAAAGAGGGAGGGAACCAAGCTGAGGTACGAACAGGGAAATATGGAAAGGCAGAAAGCTTTAGAGAGGATAAAAAAGAAATAAAATCGTACCCCGAGTAAAGTCTAACACCGTAAGAACAGTAGAAACTAATTTGAATTCTCACCTATAGGGAATAAAGTTAGTGAAAGGAATTTTGCAGCTGATTTACAATAGGAGATACAAAACAAAATGCCCCATACACATGAAGGAGTTGCGATGTTTTTACAGTAACCAACAGAGCAGATATCTTGCTCACAACAGTTGAAAGCATCACTTCTCAGGTGTAAATAAATCCATAAATCCGGGCCAGCAGAGAAGCTAAACAATCTGAAATCTATTATAGAGGTTTTGTAGTTACGTTACACGTTCAGCAAACAAATCCTCTGGCTTTGTGGAGGACCAATGGAGAGTTGTCAATGCACAACGTTGAATTAGGTTTAAAGCTTTAAAAACTGGAGCTAGAAAGGACACACTAGTCCTGTACGTCTGTTTGAGTAGTTGTTTGACACAAGTCAGTTCACCCTGAGCAAACTGTTAACAATGGCTTTGTTGGCTACAGTAGATCAACTATTAACATACAAACAAACAAACAAACAAAACAATATGAAATTTGATCTGATAATGGATATTATATAGTTAATGTATAAATATATATAGTTAATATATTTAAGTGAAAACCTTGACCTCCTTGTGGCTCTAAAAAATAGAATTTTGTGGCGGTCCATTGTCTAGTTGTCAAGACATGTCACTAAATGCCATAAATGTCATGCCCAACGTCAGTAGGATTCATCATCTGGGGACCATGAACGACTGTACAACATTTCATGGAACAAAGTGATGGAGTAGATCCACACTGCTAGTGTGGCTAAAACAAAATAAACAAACAAAAATGTTGGTTACCTATGCCATAAAGTTACAGCCATTCATTCAAAATCACGTAAAAAAGTTCTCCTGTCCTTGATGTAGGCCCACTGTTTGAACACTGAAAATGAAATGATAAGTGTTGCTACTCAGATTCAGTCCACACCTGTTTTACATTTAGCGAGCCTATTGCTATAGTTAGCGAGTTAATTGACTGTCCATCCATCTGTCCATTCTCTAAACTGCTAATCCTGTTCAGGGCTGTGGGGGCTGGATCCTCTCCCAGCATGCACTTGGCAAGAAGCAGATACGTACGATGGACAGGTTGCTGGTTTTTGCCAATTGACAAGACACAAAATCGATCAAACATATCTGTCATTAATCGAACTGACAGAAATCCTCCATGTTTGTGAAATGCTCACGAGGTGTCGCAGATGTCAATTTGATTATACGTCACCTTTCCAAGCTGCAACCAAAGAGCCGAGGAGCTGCAACTTGGCTGACAGGAGGGTGTGACATTACCTCTGCTGCTTTCGTTCTGGGCTCTGAAGAACTATGCATTTTGGTAACAGCTTTTATCCAAATTCCCTCCCTTGACTGTGATTGCACACACGCTGAGCATGGGTGGCTCTTGTGGGAATTGAACCCTTCACCCTGGCAGGCGTACAGCAGTTCCCATTTAGCATCAGCTCTATCAATGCCAGAGAGTGGGGTTTAAATTCCCACCGGGGGCCACACATGCAGCTCTAAAAATGCACGCTCTCAAGGCACTTTGGATGAAAGCGCTCTCCAAATGGCAGCTGTAGGTAATGAAAAATTTTCAAAAAATTCCCCCTAAAATTGATATATAGTGTTGGAAATGAGCGGCGCAGATATAGAGCTGCTATTCTGTGGCAGCCGACTGCGGTATTGTCAGCGGTGATAATATTTTCTGTGAGCTGAAGATAGCTTCTCCCTCAGCACGCCTGAGGGGAGGTTAAGCCTCATAGCTAGTGGCCTGTGAACCAGAGAATGGGAACTCCTGTGTGTGTGTGTGTGTGTGTGTGTGTGTGTGTGTGATAGAGAAACGTCTAAATCTGTCTCAGCTCTCTCAGGTTTCACAGCTACACAAACACCTGAAGAAGAAATCCCATGATGTCGGCGACAGGAAGCATTCATGACATCACTGTCAGCTTTACATACAGAGGCCAACTGTGATGTCAGCG